TGATTGGATTGAAATTTGTTGTTTATATTTTAAACTGGGATAGGTCTATAATAATTTTGCCATGACAATGATTGTCTAATGCTGCTGTGGTGGGTGAGGTATGGCAATTAAATGTCAATAACTTTGTCACACTCTCTCTATGCTTCAATACATTAGTTCATCACGTGTGCTACGTTAGAATATAGTAACATTTGTATTTGTAGGTAGACTACGGGGTTTATGATGTACCATATCAAGACTACGAAAAATGTGATGTAAAAATATTTAATAGTTGATTAATCATCATCATGTCAGTACATGAAGTATAATGTGTAAGTAGCCCTGTGTGTTAAGTAGTCCAACAAATTCTTCAGGAAGAAAGTGATTCGACCCTTATTGATGGCGTACTCAACTGTTTAGGGGTAATGATAGAGACATTTTATATCGTTGACAACAGGTCATAAAACTTGACATATTCACTGGGAGGCGCCAATCGATCGAAGACTTTGTAGTAATCATCACACTTGTAATCTCCCAGCTTTGTCAGTTGCCTCAAAAATACTTTTGGAATAAATAATTCATTTTTGTTCTGGTATATAAACGAAACATCCAACCATTGGACCCTTTAGGCTATATTGTCAAGAACATATAAATGAAAATAGTAAAAAAAATAAATAAACAGTAACAATTCAACTATACTGCTAAATTTACCATTGGTTAAGCAAATTTGTTAGTAAACCAAAAGACCGGGGGTCTAACACTATATAGGGCCAGTCAGTAAAACAAACAAGGTCCCATTCTAAGTTCAAGGTCTTCTAGTGAAAGTTATAATTGCGAGGTTTACAATAACCTTATACAAACTATAATGAAACTAACTATCTGGTAGAATTGGGTGAACATTCAGTTGTCAAAGAACAAGAACCTTTAAATGATAGAATGACTGGCAACTGTGGCATGATTCATAAGACAACGTGTTGGCCAGATATAGAGCTTGCCTGTTGAGTACTTACGGGGTTTTGATCATAAACTATAAAATTCCTCAAACTTCAAAATATATAGTACTCTACTAAAGTGCCAATATGGCTTCCAAAAAGTAGTTATACAAATTATGGTGTTGTGTAAAATATAAATTTATATTTCATTATTACTTTGAAATAAGCAACAATCTGTTTATTTTTATGGGTAATATTCAATAATATTCATAAAAAAGCAGTCTTAATTAGATCGTTCTTATGAAAGAGTGTATGAATATCAGCAATCAATCAGCAGCAAAATATAAAACACAATTTGTATTAAAAAAATTGGAAAATTACTAATGAGATAAATACTGTGTAATAAGGGATGTTTTGAAGCTGCAAATTATTTTCATTTTCCCATTTCCCTTACGGACAAAATAGGACATTTGATGTTAGGGTCACATATCGGTGTACAAATTAAAGATATTAATACAAATACACTTTACCTTTACATGGTTCTATTATTTTCGCATATAATATTATATAATTATCTTTCGTCAGCTAACAATGGCAATAGCTGCATGACAGACACAGACAGCGGCATGACGTGTCGAATAAACCAGCCACAGAAGGTGTCCGATTCAGCTGTTAGGTCATCGGTCATCACTCAAAGATAATAAAAGAGTTGCCACGAGAGAAAACGACAGTCGATTGTGTTTCATGATAATGTATTTTATGACATGCGTCGAAATTAGGGAGGACATCGGCATAGCGGAGGTGAGAGTTCGTGCTGAGGGTCGACGTGTAGGTCCAAGTGATGTCTGCAACTCGTGAGAGCTTTCAAGAGATCAGGACTTTTACATTGCGGATTTATTATACAACTACAATAATATACCCATCCAATTACATAGTATCTATTTTAGAGTATAATATATTTTATCATGAAGCTGCTCATAGAAAATGTTAAAACTCCCTCTGTGTTTAGTAAGTTGGTGGCTCAGTAGATAGCGACGGACTATGGAACTAAGCTACTGATGACTTGGGTTCGCGTACCAAGGCCGCCTCAGAACAGTGTACTCTTGGCTTATCCCTTTCTTTGCTTTATACATACATATACAATCCACACACAGGCTTTTGAGACACGCTTTAATAGCAAATGCAAGTTTATATTGGACAGAAAAAAACACACATTTTCAAAAGCCCTTAAAAAAAGGTAATTTTCTATAGGGTACTGCACCTAATAGATAAATCTTACTTCTCTGTGGGTACTAGCAGTTTTGCCCTCGTAGCATGTAAAAGGTATATATCCAAGGATCCAACACAAATATATAAAATGATATAGAAACATCAATCACATAAAAACTGTAGTGAATGGCCAATATAAACACAACATCTCATAAATATAATGAACGTGAACTATGCGGTATAGTAGGAGTAAAATAAGATGAAAATGCATAGTAATTCTGAGATTGTTTATCTACTGTACACGAAGACATCATTATAACTAAAGATCCATTGGCTTAATTCTCTCTAAAATTTGTAACAAAATTAGGCAACTTCCGCAGTCCATATAAATCACTGGGGAATTACATTTCCATAACAGAGAAGAAATGTCGCCTCGCTACACAGAGAAACACTCATCTGACGGCTGGTGGCAGCGAGGAGGCTGTGGCTGTGGTCCCAGGGCAGTTAGAAAGGCGCCCGAGGTCCTCCGCGTGTGCTCTGTGTCTGTGGTCAGGGCAAAGGGCGCAATAAGAAGTAGTACTTCACTGATACATTTTCTTGCCTGTGTGTTGCGGGGAAAGTCTCCTAGTACTGGAGCAGTGGTGAAGTCACTGTAAATGTATGGTAACAACCAATGTGGAGTATATACCCACTCAGTCTCTGAGAGGCGTGTAGGAGCAATAATAGATATTTACTATTTAGTGATGACTACAAAGTTTCGACGTAGTTATCGGATAAAGTCGAAGCAAATCTCTTCAAGATGAATAACAAGTCTAGAGCCTCCTCTATGAGGATCTTGCCCCTCCGTAGTTAAATTTTAGCTTTTAGAAACACCTCTGTCAATTCGACGGTCAAATTGTTTCGTATCGTTATGTCTGTGCGTTATGTTTTATACACATAAAGAATTTGTTAGACCACAGTTCTTATTTCTCTGTGGTTAGACGGACTATAACTATTGATACTTATTAAGCAAAGAAAGAGACGTATTTGTTTGTTGTAATAGTTTTTGCAGGCTTTTTTTAAATTTCTATGAGTAAATAACATAAATACAGAACGTCAAAGACTAAGCTCGTATAATTCTTTTCAAATGTTTTAATAGTAACGTAATTATGGGTTATATGTTGTTAGTTGTTACTATTAAGGTAGTTATTTATTTCATTCGTTAGACAGTGGCTCCCTCTGTTAAACACTTACCAATTATTTATCTAAAAATCTTCAGATTATTTTCCATTAAATACTATTAGTAACACAAATAAACCATAAAGATAACTCTAAATACGACTGATAGTAAAACAATCTCATTCAAAGTATCAAATATCCGACTCGCCATGATGATCTTTAAATCCTCGCGTATCTTCTCCTTGAGAAAATTAACTATATTATATTCCTTTTACACAGTTTAATTTCATATTACTGTATACACTTTTGTTTGATAGTCTATCACTATGTTTTATTCCAGCCACATTAAAGAGTTTTGTTTCACACATAGTTTACCGGTAACCATTTCAGGATGTCAGTGCTGTACATTTATATAATTCCAACTCTACTAACTCTCTAACAGTCCTGCTATTGTGTTATTTGCATCATTATGATTGCATGAGGACCCAAGAGTTCTGTACAATGTGTACGTGTTCGCACATTATTATGTTCAAACCACCTTTCCTCAAGTCAGAGGATGCATTATACTGTACTGGAGGTGTCAATACGGAAGACGACCCTGTTAAACCTGTTTAGGTGCCAACCAAAGTTTCATTTACATGGAAATATAAAATAATATAACATGAAGGATATGAGAAGCCGCATTACTAGAGGTAGTTTGAGCCGCAAATAATACATGGCAAGTAAACCACAGTAGAAGAGTTTTTCATTTTACACTCTGTTTAGATTTTTTCGCAAAGTAAATTAAGTTGGGCCTTTTAAAATTGCCTATTAGTTTTATCTTTTGTGTTCGAATTATGTTCGTGTTATTGAAGAACATTAAGGTCCACAATAGATACAAAAGGACAGCGCATTGATACATGTTATCAATCAAAGCCTCAGTAACATCGTGTCATTAATTTGCATTTGAAATACAAATATATAAGTTGGTCCTAATGTAAAGTGAAGTATTCTCGCAATAGTTGATACAATTAGTACGCAACTCCCTTTGACTGTTCACTATTAAGTTTAAATGTTCATTATATGGCATAATCTATCAAGATAATATTCGTTTATCTTGTGAAACAGTACATTTAGTTATGTTTTTTTACACTGGTGAATACAATTAGACTAATCTATGTTGCACAAAACCGTTGTTAATCTTATTTAAAGAACATGCGAATATGTATAAGTATAAACAGTGCTTGTTTGACTGTTTGCCTGATAAATAAACCTCACAGTCGCGTTTATGCTGGAGTCAATAATGACATTATCACCGAAAACAGGTACCTCTCTCACTAGGTATTCTGTGATATTAAAAACTTTGTTTATTTTGTTGAAAGCTAAAGTTTTATTGATGTATGGTAAAACCCATATTATTTTCCATCACATAAACTTAAAAAAAAACTATTTCTGAGTGTAGGTAATTATTGCCAAGTTACACTTTAAACTTAGATTGCGGTGGGCGTCTGTGATGGTATGCAGGCGTGTAGTGTCGTGGGAATAAACAACTGATACTCCGGAATGTAAACATATATCGTTCCGAAAGTTCAGTCAGGTTTGGCGTTGTTTACTCCACACTTCCCGAGGTGGCAAGGTCGATGAGATGGAGAGTGGTCGGTCAGGTGCCTCGCCCCCTTGGCTCGGCTGCCGCTGTGGCTGTGAGTGTGAGAGAGGAGATTCTCGACACAAGCGGCTCGGGCAGCGCGGAGGTAACATCGTTGGGCCGCCGCAGCCTCTCCACTGGAACTGGCACGTGTGTGGATACGATCTGTGTTTGTGACTGTGTTGTGTACATTTGTAAATTAATACTGCAGTGATGCACCAACTTTGTTAAATAACAGGATTGCGGTTTATAGGGTTAACTCAAAATATTAAGATAGAATTAGCAAATTCGATAAAAAATGTATTTAGACTTAGGGGTGTTCTGATTACGTTAAAAACGTAAACGTATATTCTCGCAACTATTTCAGCAAATATTATCGCATTTTGGTTTTATTGACGTATTTTGCTTGTAAGTAATTTTTAAATGTCTACGAATAGAGTTAACCAGATTTTTTAAAATATACTTAAACTATTGTGACCTCGAAACAATCCAAGTGAGTGCGGACTGATCAGCTGGTTACAGGACAATTACGTTACATCGTCATCTTGCCCAGACAGGACTATGACTACAGCGCTTCTCGACCTTCGCCCCCAAGATAAGATAAGGCAAAGTCGTCTTATTCGGGAAATGATTTTCGTTCGCGAAGGTTCATGTCCGTGTGTCGCGGTTTGAAATTTCGGTTAGGCAAAATTTTCGATCCGCAGACTGTGTTTTAATGTTTTAGTTTGCCGTATTCGGTGACATATAGACTTTCTGCCTCGCGATGCCGGCGCACGTGCCTCAGTACAAGGACCTGGAGCAGGACTGGTACACGCTGTGTCAGAACTGCACGGACTGTTGGACCTCCTCAGGTAATCCTCTCACATATCTGTATCAATGCAATGCTCAAGATACATTATACTCAACCTTGTTTTCAATAATTTTAGTAACTAGACTATACTGCTCAGCGTTCATTCAATAAGTCGCGTGATCATGTGGAGTATGTTTCAAAATGTGTTTGAAGAAATGATTTGTAGTTGTATTCTAGTATCTTAAAATTACATAGTTTAAAAACTATTCACTTATCAACGGAACATTAAAGTGCGTCTACGAGTGGTTAACATGGACGGACTGGTCAAGGATATTGTAGTTTTTAAATGTGAAACACTTTAGACGTAGGGCCTATATGATCTAGGATGCTATCATGCTATGCTATTCATTACAGTTTAAAATAAAACATGAGATTAAATTAAACGTATAATATGCTAATTCCTACGAGCTCTCTTAACGATGACAAACACGGTTGTGAAAATCTTGTTAAATCTGTTGATAAAACTGTGTCTCACGATCAATTTATCATCTAAAAAAAATCACCAATTTTATCTTTCTATAACAATTGGATAGTGGCATTACTTTGTTTACTTGTTTATCTCATAATATTTCTAAACCTGACACAACTAGACACAGTACTTAGAAAGGCTTTCTAAAGTTGCTGTGCGCGGAGTGTAGAAATGTTGTGTAAATAAACATGTTATTGCAACATCATAACGGTTCTATCAATAAACGATTAGTGATTAGCAAGTAATGTAAACTTATAGTTAATTTAGGGGAAATTTTGTGTATCACCGATTTCTTGTCAAGATTAATTGGCTGTAAATTTAGGCTAATCTTGTGTAGTAAAAGGTGTGCTCAAATTGTGATTTGCCATTTTCTCCTGTTGATTATTATAAGTAAATGAGCTGCGTGTGTGGCAACAGCAAGCGTGAGTGTCGCTTACGCTTAGTTAGGTCTTGGCCAGTCAGATCAAACAATCAGGAAGTGATATAATGGATTTAATATACTGAGATCATTGTTAATTAAATCTCATATCTATTTAAATGATTTTGATACGACGATGAAAAAACACTGTAAACAGTTTTATGAAAAAATTAAACAAAAATATGGTATCATGTTGTTTAGCTTAATCCTACCATTGACTATTGGATACAGAAGAAGACTTGTTGTATTAATAGTCAAAGGTCCTACTTAAGCCTTAAGTCAATGTTTTGTAGGTATAACCAGTTATCACGTCCATAGTCTACAGTTGATAATTATAGTATTATAGTTTTATTTGTTGTATCTGAGGATATTTTAAATTCTGGATATTGAACTGGGTAGACATAAGGATCATAACTAAGTTAACAATATATTCTCGGAGATGACTTGTTTAGCATGATATCTCACCAGAGAGCCTATTATAGCACAGGAGGCGTATCCAACCAGCTTTGTTGGCGTGGAGCTCCAAACACAAGCATTCCAACTGTACAGTCAGGTTTAGACACTGTAGACCTCACTGTTCATTCATAAGAAAGTTGATAACTTATGATGACAAGTAGGTTTATTTCATGTAGGTTTCATGTGGTTTCATGTAGGTTTATTTCACCGCTTATAAGTTTTAATTTTGCTTTTAGAAGGATTTTCAATCAAATAAATATTTTCCAATTGTTCGCAAATACCTTCTGAGAAAATGATTTCCTCTGAAAACCAACAATTTCATTTGTCGAAAATTATTGACTTTAAGAAAAAAAAACTTTCTTTATGCACTTATCTTCAATGGAAAAGTGCTCACTTCCTGAGAACGGGGTGGCATCCATCCTCAGGAAAAGCAACCCCGACACAGGGCAGACTTTGACATTGAGTACAAGTAGAACAAAAATCGGTGCTGTTTAGGACAAAAACACAGTTAACAATTTCTTGTCGTATTTGACTGGACTAAACAGGAAATTCTACAATAACATAACCAATAATGTTAATAATGTTATATTGTTCATTTTTCTTCACAAAACAAACTAGACAGTTACGTTTTGTTTAATTAATCACATAAATTAAAAATTATCGGGAACTAGAAATTTTGGTTTTAAATTTTGAAGATTTTTACTTTATATAAACTGTTTTTATAATTTACCATGAAATATATTTTCGGTTAAATTGTATTAACATGCCTACCATAGATTTATCAAATTATTTAAAATTCATTTGAAGTAGCCACTGTTTATATTGCCAAATCTCGGTATTGTATGTGTTTGCTTGGTCATTAGATGTTCAAATAAAATTACAACAATTCCAGGTACGTATACCACGACGAGTACGTAGGTCTGCTGCGGGTGAATGCCCCCGTGTACGTTGATGTATTATTGTTGTTGTTGTTGTTGTGTTATGCAACAGGTCTTGCAGTGTTGCATACTGTTGTGCAGTGCACGACCTCACCGCAGCTTCCATCCTCTCATTTCATCTTCATTTCAGGAGTTATTAGGAGAGAGTAATAGTTGTCATTTCTTCAGATCCATTCAGATCGGCCAGAATCGTATAAGCACAATACAACTTACAAAGCTACATACTGTCCAATGCCTATACTATGTAAGCAATTGTACAAACGCGTATTCGTATCGATACGGGGGTGTTGTAAGCAATTTACACTAAATCCTGCATCTCCAACTGATTAATCTGTACAAGTGATTGTATTCATGGAAACTCATTTAGTGTTTTATAACTTTTTTGAAAATTCAGTACAGTATTTAAATGAATTTTAAAAGTAGTTTGAACACCTATTTTATAAATATAATATCTTCTGTCCAAGTAGAATGATTGAATTCTTCCAGACCACAACAATAATAGACAACGATTGCCAACAGTAATACCTGTAGCAAACTGCAAGTGGTGTTGGTACATCAACATTAATAATTCAAAAAGATCACAACACGTATTTATTTAACAAACCCGATACTCTTCATTAATTCTAACTCATTATCATTCGCATTGAGTTTTATATTTTGCGTTATTGGTGGGCAGTTGTTTAGTAAATTCACACGCCCCCTTTTACCCGCATGAACACGAATGTATGCAGAATTAAATAGCCATTTCCGAGCACTGACGCTTACCTCACGATGCCCATGGAGCGTTTCGGAGACTAATATTCAAATGAGCATCTTCGTGCGAGAGATATTTACTAATTAATTAGACAACTTTCGCTAAATTCGTTCGTGCTTTATTTTAATTTTTATATTTTCCGCGACGCGTTCCGTGGAGAAAGTGTTCGTTTCCTTGGATCTGCCACGTAGTGGTAATTGTTAATTATCGCCAACATTTAGTAAGAATGGCTTCTTAGTGTATTTTGAGGTGCTAATACAAATCCCATTTCTGTAAAAATTACGGTTCAAAAGTTATTGTACATTATGTTATTTTCCTATAAAAAATCCCCATAAAATAACGAAAAATTGGATTTTAGAAAAAAATCCGGTTTTGATTTAACATAGTATGTTATAGTCCTTACAGTTTTGATAGTTTTTTTTAATTTTTTTAAATTTTTTAAATGGGGATTTTCCCATAAAACCCCATAAAATAAAGGAAAAATAGGATTTTCCCAAAAATGGCCCGGACGATTTTGATAAAAATTCCTTTAAATTCTTAACAAAATTGTACAAATCCCATTTCCGTATATTTACTCTCACCGCTTACACATGATAAAGGTTGTTGACAAACTTATGGGAGAAAGTATGTGTCAGAATGCTGATACCGTTTATTGTTATTGTTATAGTAAACATTGTCCCACATTGGTCGACATCGTAGTACGGTATCAATTCAATACTGTATATGTTCTTTAATAGGCCTATCATTGTTATTGTGATTTTTTTAAAATCCCAAACTCCACATACTTCAACCGGCTGTCTCGTTTAACATTACATTGACGTTGTTTTACCAATCACGTCTCTCAAGAAATCTTGTCTAATGATTCAGTAAAAGTTTTAAGACCAAGGTAGACCAAATATCAACAAGGGCCGTGTCACACACTCAAGTGTCAGGTGGTTGACTATCCTGAGCGAATAATGCGCAGGGTCATTTGACGAAGATAAGTGTAATTACAAACACATGATAATTAAGACAGACTTTACAATACAATCAAACTATAAATTATTAGAAAGCATTGCTCCCTCTATAAACTCAGATTTTTTTTATGAGAAAAAATCTATTTGTAAACATATATTGATACATAAAATCAAAGTTATAAAATATGTTTTATGTAAAATGTGTACTTTACTTGAAAGTCACTTTACTGAAAAAAATCTTAATTAAATGTGTGTACTGTAATTGATCTTATAGTGTTAATTAAACCATAATTACATTATTAATAGTTTTTAATTAGGTTTGTTGTTTTTAGCCTCCTGATCACAATATAAATTATTACTAGAGGTTAAAATACCTTATAATCCGTCAGTGTGATTAAGTCACCGATGGAAGGTGGTCGGTGACTTGATCACACTGACGGATTATAAGTATTATAACCTCTAGTAATAATAGATAAATATGGCCTATACCATCTGAAGAAACTATCCTTAGCAAGGAGCAACGCTTAAAAGTTGTAATTTCCTTAGTCTTGTACAATATCTAGGAATTTCAATAGTAAAAAAGTGCCTAAGAAATTACAAGATTTATGAACCCTCTCCGTGGGATTGTACCTTTCCCATCGTCACAGCACAGCGACTATTAAAGGCCATCCCAGGTATATTTAACATGCAAAATGATACAAACAATAGCTCATAACTTATATCTCCTCACCCAAACGCCCATAATAGGAGCTCTAGCTCATGCTCTTCCAAAATAACACTTTCGCTGATGGAGTGCATGATGGAAAGCACGGCGGGCCTGACTGCTTCGGCTGTATTTTGCAAATTAGATGTTTAGATGCGGAAGACATTCGCCAGGTATAATTCGCTGAATACGATTCGCCGAGACCAATTCCCTACCTCGGTACGTTGATGGGAGTCAGATACTTCTAGTTATGCAAGTGCGATTGATGACCAGTGCATCTTAATCGTTTAAAATTTTCGCCACAACC